TCTCCCAGTATATCATATCACCTGCAAAAAGTGATATATTTCTTTTCTCATTGGTTATTTTAATTCTTTCAATTTCTTTTTTCTTCTTATTGCTATAACTAGCATTTCTAGTAAAATATTGCATAATCGTAGTGATAATGGGCATCCTTGCTTTACCCTAATCTTACTGAAAAGGCTTCTAGCTCATTCCCATTACATTTCATGCTTGCTGATGATTTTAGATAAATACTACTTATCATTTTAAGGGGAGTTCAATTTACTCTTATGCTCTCTAGCGTTTTTAATAGGAATGGGTGTTATATTTTGTGAAAGGCTTTTTCTGCATCTGTTAAGATAATCACATGATTTCTCTTGGTTTTGTTATTGATACAGTCAGTTATGCCAATAGTTTTCCTTATTTTGAACTAACCCTATGTGGTATAAATCCCACTTGGTCATACTGTATGTTCCTTAAGATATGTTGCTGTATATTCCTTGAATTTTATTCATTTATTTATTTTGCATCAACATTCATTAGGGAAATTGGTCTGTAGTTTTCTTTGTTTTAGCTCTTCCTGGTTTAGGTATCAGCATATTTGTGTCATAAAAGGAATTTGGTAGGACAATTTCACCTTCCCCTCTCACCCTCCCCCCCAATAATTTATATAATTTTGGGATTGTTTTTTAAATGTTTGATAGAATTCACTAGTGAATCCATATGGTCCTGGTAATTTTTTCTTAGGGAGTTCATTGATAGCTTGTTCAGTTCAAGTATTCTGTTCTCTTTTGTTAATCTGGGGAATTTATATTTTAGTAAACATTCATTCATTTCACTTACATTGTCAGATTTATTGGCATACATTTGGGCACAATAGAAATTGTTTTAATTTCCTCTTTATTGGTGGTGAATTCACCCTTTCACTTTTGATATTGGTAAGATGGTTTTCTCCTTTCCTTTTTTAAATTAAAATAACCAACGGTTCATTTATTTTATTGTTTTTTTCTCATAAAACCAGCTCCTAGTTTTATTAGTTCAACAGTTTTCTTATTTTCAATTTTATTAATCTCCCCTTTGATTTTCAGGATTTCCAATTTGTTGTTTAATTTGGGATTTTTAATTATTTTTTCTAGTTTTTTTTTTTTAGCTGAATATCCAATTTGATCTGCTCTTTCTCTAACTTACTGATGTATTTAGTTATACATTTCGTCCTAAGTAGTTCTTTGGCTGCACTTCATGAATTCTGGTATGCTAATTGTTGTCATTCTCTTTAATGAAATTACTGTTTCTACTATCTGTTCTTTGACAAACTTATTCTTTAGTATTACTGTTTCCAATCAATTAATTTTTAATCTAAGTTTTCACTGTCCTTTGTTGAATGTAATTTTTATTGCATTATGATCTGAAAAGGATGCATTTAATATTTCTGCTTTTGGTTGAGGTTTTAATGCCCTCATAGATGGTCAATTTTTGTGGAGGTGCCATGTATGACTGAGAAAAAGGTATAACCCTTTCTATTCCTATTTAATTTTCTGCAGAGGTCTATCATACCTAACTTTTCTAAAATCTTATTCATCTCCTTTTTTCTTATTTACTTTTATTAGATTTATCTAATTCTGAGAGAGGAAAGTTGAGGTCCCCAAGTATAGTTTTACTATTTCCTCTTCTAACTAATTTAACTTCTTTAAAAAATTAGATGCTATACCATTTGTTGCGTCTGTATCTGTACACACACACGCATATGTATATGTGTTTAGTATTGATATTACTTCATTGTCAGTATTGATATTACTTCATTGTCTATGGTACTTTTTAGCATGATATAGTTTCCTTCTTTATCTCTTTTAATTAGATTTTTGCTTTCACTTTGTCTGAGATCTGATTATTACTCCTATTTTTTTTTTACTTCAGCTGAAACATAACAGATTCTACACTAGCCCCATACTTTTACTCTGTTTCTGCGCTTCAAATGTTTCTTGTAAACAACACATTGTAGGATTCTGATTTTTAATCCATTCTGCTTCTTCTTTTATAATTGAATCCATCCCATTCACATTTACAGTTATGATAACTTTGTATTTCTTTCCGTCCTATTTTCTCCACTTATCTTTCTCTGATCTTTCACCCTGCCCCTCCTCACAAGCATTTTACTTCTAAACCAGACTGCCTCCCCAAAACTACCCTTCCTTCTAACAACCCCTCCCCCCTCTCTTATCCCCATTCCTTATTTCCTTACAGATTAAGATAGAATTCTATGTCCAACTGAGTGTGCATATCATTCCTTCTTTAAGTCAATTCCAATGATAGTAAATTTTAAGTGTTGCCCACCCTTCACCCTCCTCCCATTTTCCTCTCCACTTTTGTATCTCTTTTATGTGAGATAATTTACCCCATTCTATTTCTCTATCCCTTCTTCTCCCAGTGCAATCTTCTTTCTCACCCCTTGTTTTTTTGGGATATCATCCATCATAGTCAACACACCCTTGCCCTCTGTTGATGTACGGGCCTTCTAAATGATATGTATATGCCTTCTAATTTCTGATTGTGATAAAGTTCTTGAGTTATGAGTATCATCTTCCCACGAATGAATGTAAAGTTTAGTCTTATTGAATCCCTTATGTTTTCTTTTTTCTGTTTACCATTATATTCTTGAGTCTTGTATTTGAAGATCAACTATTTTGTTCAGCTTTGTCTTTTCCTCAGGAATGCTTTAATGTCTATTTCATTAACTATCCATTTCTCCCCTCCCCCTTAAAAATTATGCTGAGTTTTGTTGGGTAGATGATTCTTAGTTGTAATCAATTCTAGTTCCTTTGCCTTCCAGGACATCATATTCCAAGCCCTCTGGTCCTTTAATATAGAAGCTGCTAAACCTTTTGTAATCCTGAATGTGGCTCTACAATATTTGAATTGTTTTTTCCAGACTGCTTGAAGTATTTTCTCCTTGACTCAAGAACTCTGGAATTTGGAATATTCCTGGGAGTTTTCATTATGGGATTTCTTTCAGGAGGTGATGTGGATTCTTTTAATTTCTATTCTACCCTCTGGTTCTAGAATATCAGGGCACTTTTCCTTGATAATTTTTTGAAATATGATTTTTTTTTATCATGGCTTTCAGGTAATCCAGTGACTTTTAAATTAAATCTGTCCTGGATCTATTTTCCAGGTCAGTTGTTCTTCCTATAAGAAACTTCACATTTTTTTCTATTTTTTCATTCTTTAGATTTTGTTGTTTCTTGATGTCTCATGGAGTCATTAGCTTCCACTTGTCCACTTCTAATTTTTAAGGAAATATTTCTTCAGTGAGCTTTTATACCTCCTTTTCCATTTGGCCAGTTCTACATCTTTTTTTTTTGGCAATTGGGGTTAAGTGACTTGCCCAGGGTCACACAGCTAGTTAAGTGTCAAGTGTTAGGTCCTCCTGACTTCAGGGTTGGTGCTCTATCCACTGCATCACCTAGCTGCCCCTAGTTCTACTTTTTAAGGAGTTGTTTTCTTCCATGAATTTCTGTACCTCCTTTTTTATTTAGTCAATTCTATTTTTAAGGAGTTATTTTCTTTTTTTTTCTTTTTGATGGGCAATCAGGGTTAAGTGACTTGCCCGGGGTCACACAGCTAGTAAGTGTTATGTGTCTGAGGCTGGATTTGAACTCAGGTTCTCCTGACTCCAAGGCCGGAGCTCTATCCACTGCACCACCTAGCTGCCCCTGGAGTTATTTTCTTTAATAAATCTTTGTATACCTCCCCCTCTATTTTTATGCTTCCTTTACCAAGCTGTTGACTCTTTTTTCACGATTCTCTTGCATTACTCTCATTTCTTCTAACTCACTTATATTCAGGCTGATTTGTAACTATAATTGGGGCACATACTACTGCTGGTCCTCCTACCTTTATCCAAACAGTGGTTCTCCTATCAGATGACTACCCCAAACCCTCCCTGCTCAGTGAGGATTTTATATCTAGGGTCCCCAGGGATTATAGTCACCTGACTTCTTGTAACCAGTAGATTTCCTATTTTGTCTTTGATCAGAAGATAAGAACTCTCTGTTGCTGTTAACAGTAAATAGCCACCTAAGTATCCCTCAGTAGGGAATACCAAATACTATGCTTTTATTCCTCTGACCCTTTGGGATAATCTGTCATTGACACCTGTGGCTCTGCTTGTGAATTTCTTGGAGAACATGTAGCTGTTCTACCTTAGAGCATTCATGCAACTGAACACTTCCTCCTCATACTGAAGGCCTTAATGATTCTGGCCCCTTCTGAAGCTCTGCCTTTGGGTTGGTTCCTTGTAGGAGAATGGTACTTACTTACATGGCCTCCAAAGATTCTATTTCAGCCTGTCTTTAAAGCTTAGTTCAATCAATCCATTAAGTATTAAGGGCCTACCATGTACTAGGTACAGTGTTAGCTATGGGGGATACAAAGACCAAAAAAAGGTCTCTGGGCAGTTAGGATCAGGAAAAGCCTCAAGTAGTGCATGCCTGAGCTGAGCTTTGAAGGACACTAGGGCACCTAAAAGGTAGAGGTGAAGGGTACAAAATGGAGGTAATAGCTACTATAAATAATAACCATTATAGAACATATATATGACCATACATGAAAAAATCATGTTAACATAAGACACTTCACAGTGTTGTTGTGAGACTGAAATGAGACAATCTATGCAAAATGTTTTGCAAATTTCAAAGTAATATATAAATGTCAATGATCGCTATAGCCTCTACCTTAGCATTTTTGCAATTATCTCAGTTTTTCATAGTAGTATATGAAATTATATCTAACTACCTACGTAAAGAAAACACGTGGTGGAAAATCTTTGAAATTTAATGATTTCTGAAAATATCTTAAGTCTAAAAATATTTTTTAAGTCCTTGAAATGTATATCTTACATATATTCAAGTTTATGAAATTATAGAATTATATGCGATGGCAATGTTAGTAATATTTAACACTGTCACAAAATTTTTCTAGAAACCAGGAGAAATACATATCATTGAAATAATACCACAGAACTTTTAGCTATTTTGGAAATAAGCTTTTATCTTCAAATGACACTGTCTTTCGTATTTCTTTAAGAACACTTAAAACAATTTAAAATCACATTTATTGCTTTGTATACAATAGCTCATATAGTTATGTAGTTAAAAAATACTCAAAAACAAAGCAATACACCTGGCATTTCCCCCCAAAAATGGGAAATACATTTTGTTGGAGAAAAAAAATTAAATAATATTAAGAGAATTTGTACTTCAGTGGGTAATTACAATTGATAATTACTTAAAACATTATGCCAGCAAAACAATTAATATTAGCTGATTAGCACATAAACAGAATATTGTTCACCACATTATGGTAAGCAGTAAAAAAAACAAAACTGAAAACACCCTATTTTAATGGTAATTTTCAAATAGATTTCTATTATACTGCATTTCTTTTTCTTCAGATTTGAGCTCATTAATAGAACATTCCTATATGTACAAAGATGCAACAACTGATACAGTATATATTTCAACAACAAATTAAAGGTCATAATATACATAACTTAAATACCCCCCATGCTGTGACTGATATTGGCTTCTTATTCCTTAATCATAAACTTCTTCCTTTGATGTTCACCAATGAAGTTTTCTCATTAAAAGGCACATTCTTATCTGCAACCAAAAAAAGTTCGTAATGATATTTAAATGCCCTTTCTTTTACACATTTAAGTACAGTTCTGTTACTTCACAAAGATTTTGTGGAGGTGGGAAGAGAAATATAAAATTAGATAATCAAAGCTATCAATTTAGGAAATTTAAATTATTTATATATACTAAGATTATTTTTATCAATTTTATCAAATGCAACCATTCTGATATTCATCTTCACTATATTACTATAGGCATATGTACATTTACCCACAGATTTTTAAAACTTTTCACTTTTATTCAGTTTATTTTTTCCAAACAGATATTGTTATATTAGCCTAAGTAAGAAAACACTATTTAATAAATTTTAGCTATGTAACCAATTATAGTAAAAAGCAGATTTTTATTGCTTTAAATTTCAACCAAAGAGGTTTATAAGAATAAATAATAACAATAGTGACAATAATTGCACCTAACTTTTACCTAATTTCTAGGCCTTTCAAGAATTGTGTTGAAAGGTATCTTCTAGACAATGAATGTTTTGTTGTAATGACTTTTAATATTCTTACAGGATTGTTTTATGGGCTTAGCAATGCTTGAATACCTTTTCCCCATCTGTTTTATTGAATTTGCCTAAAATGATGAGTTTTATTAAGATTTAAGGATCCTATGTCTTCATAATCAATAATCATAATCAAGTAATATATCCTAGCAATAGACTTGCAATTAGAACTGTGTTTGAATCCTGAGATGCTTATGTGGTAAAAAGAAACCAGTCAGTCAATAAGCAGCCAGGCACTTGGGAAACAAAGATGGCAAAAGATAGTCACTGCTTTCAAGTAGCCCACACCCTAATAGGGGAAACAACATGAAAACAACTATGAGCAAATAAACTATATATAGGATAAGTTGGAGATAATCAAGTGAAGGGAGTAACTAGGGGGGTGTGAAGGAAGGCTTTTGCAAAAGATGGTATTTTAGCTTGCACTTGATGGAAGCAGGGAAATCAGGAGTTGGGGATGGGGAGGGAGAGCATTTTAGGCCTGGGGAACAGTGGAATCTGGAGATGGGGTGAGTGACTTGGGCGAGGAAGAGCAAGGAAGAGCAAGGAAGCCAGTCACAGAACCACATAGTACCTGAGAGTGAGTAAGGTACAGGAAGACTGGAAAGGTGAAAGGCGCTGGATTATGAAGGGCTTTGAATAATAAACAGAGGATTTTATAGTTGTTACTGGAGGAAATAGGGAGTTGAAGTTTATTGAATGGGAGCTGACATGGCTATTCCACTTTGCATCTGTAGTCATGCCTGGTTTCAACTTTAGGAACAAGATGCCCCTCTCAAGGGGCTCATCATTTCTAATCTCATCACCATGTTACTAACTCAAGCCTAGATTGATATTAAATCCCTCAGATTCCTCTCTCCTTTGATTGAAGGGCTGGAGGGTGGAGGACCAAAACCTTCCCATTGCCTTCCTGTATAGAGGGTAGAAACTGGACTCTCAAGCTCACTCTTACTTTGCATCTGCTGCTGTGCCTGGTTTCAACTACAGGGAACAAGATGACCCTATGCCCCTGCTTTCTTGCTTCCTTTTGTATGTTGCCCCCCAACCCCCTTTTAGATTGTAAGCTACTCAAGGGCAGGGACTATGTTTCTCTTAACTGTATCCCCAGTACTTAGCACAGTGCCTGGAACATCATAGGCACTTAATAAATGTTTATTGGATTATTGGATTGGCTGGTCAGATCTTTACTTCAGGAACAACTTGACAGTTGAGTGGAAGATGGACTAGAATAAGGAGAAATTTGAAGCAGAGAGACCAGCCAGCAGGTTATTGCAATAGACCAGGCACAAGGTGCTGAAGCAAATGGTAGCAGTGTCAAAGGAGAAACAAGGGCATACATGAGAGTTGCTAAAAAGGTAAAATCAACAGAACTTGACGACAGGTTGGAGAAGGGAGGTAAAAGTGAGGGTTTGAAGATGATGCCTAATTTGTAATCCTGGGTGAATGGGAGGATGGTGATGCCCCTGACAATAATAATGAAGTTGGGAAGATGTGAGGAGTCTGGGAACAAGATAATGAGTTCAGTTTGGACATGTTGCATTTGAGATATCTATACAACATCCAATTTGAGATGTTTAAAAGGCAACTGGGGATGTGAATCTGAAGATTAGAAGAGAAGAAAAGTTTGGATTGGATAAGAAGACCCAAGGATTAGCATTACAGGGATGTTAACTGAAACCATGGAAGCTGCTGAAATTACCGAGCGAAATGGTATGGAAGTATAAGAGAAGAGGGTCCAGGACCCTAGGGGATACCTACCTTTAGTAGGCTGGAAGAAGATTCAGCAAAGGAGACTGAGAAGAATCGATCAGACAGGTAGGAGGAGAACCAGGATACAGTAATATCACGAAAACCTAGAGAGACAGGGGTAGTAAGGAGACAGTGATCGAAAATTTCAAAGTCTGCAAAGAGGTTAAGAAGAATAAGGACTGGGGAAAAAAAGGCCATTAGATTTGGTAATTGAGAGATTATTGATAACCTTGGAGAGAACAGTTTTAGATGAATGATGGGTTTGAAAGACAGACTACAAAGAGTTATAAGTGAGAGAAGAAAGGAAGCAGAGGCAGGCATAATAGGAGCCTTCTCAAGGAGTTTAGCCAAAAAAAGGAGAAGAAATATGGGATGTTAGCTAGTGGAAATGGACTTGGATCAAATGAGGGTTTTCTGAGGATGGTAGAAATACAGGCATGTTTGTAAATAGCTAGTAGACAAGGAAAGAATGAAGATAAGTGAGAGTATAAGGAAGATGGAGGAGATAATCTGCTGGAGAAGATGGAATGGAATGGAATCACTTGTGCATGTAGAGGCATTTACCTTTATAAGAAGCACAACCTCTTCAGGTGAGACATGACTGAAGGCAGAGATAGTAGAAAAAGGCATCTTAATGTGAAATGAGAAACAGGAAAGAAGAGGGAGCTCTGGGAGAATGGCCTCAACTTTTTCTGTGAAATATAAAACTAGGTTCTCAAATGACAGAAGAAGGGAAAAGGAACCATAGGAAGTTTGATGAAGGATGAAAAGGTTTGGATGAGCTGATGTGGTAAGCTGTATTGTGAATTAATTAAGGAAGTACAGTAGGATGCTTTACCACAGTGAGGGACCAGATGAGATTATCTAACACAAATTTGCAGTGGATTCAATCTGAATATTCTCATGATTTTCTCCAGCTTTGTTATGCAGCACATATGTAGGAGCAAAGGTAGCAGATGATGGTAGTGACTCAAGGCTGATTCTTGGCAGATAAAGATTGGCAACAGGACAGTGTAAAGATGAACTGGTTCACCAAAAAATCAAGAAGGTGAAGGAAGGAAAGCATACTTACTGCAGGGGTGATGGCCTGGGAAAAAAAACTGAGAGGTGGGATAAGAGGTCACGATGAGGATGAGGAGGAAGAAGAAAGTTGGTGGTTTTAAAGTAGAGGGAGGGTTGAAATGACCATGGGCTATGATCAGATATGGGTATTTCAGAGTTCATGAACATGGAAATGGTGCATTTACAGGTAATGGGTAAGGCCAAGGGGAGAAACATTTTTGTATGTGGCTGAAAAGGAGTAGAGGAGTAGGTCATGTAAAATGATTAAGTTGAATAACTGTGTATAAGGACAGGAGTTAAGAAGGAAAGACTGTGAGCCTGGCAATAAACTCATTGAGGAAATAAGGGGAATGTCCTGGAGATCTATGGGTAACAGTTAACAGGATTTTAATTTGATGGTAGATATGGAGTAAATGAACCTCGAAGGAGATGGTATTGAATGATGGTAGTGGAAGGAGAACCTGCAACAGCACTATTTTCCTTATCTCTAAAGGGGGATAATAATACTGCACTTTAAAGGGTTTTTGAAATGCAACAAATATTTGAAGAGATATATCAAAGTGAGCTGATATTTTATAGATGACCCTTAATCCCCTAATGGTACATAGAACCCTTCATGTCATGGATAGGGAGCACAGCATAGTAGAGAGAGCCTAGGGGTCAAGATCTCACCTCTGACATACCCTGGCTGTGACTCTGGGTAAGGCACTTAATTCTCACTCTTCTCTCACCCTCCATCCCTGCCATGAAACTATTTAAGATTAGAAATTGCAAAACAGGCATCAGTCAGCACTGGAAAAGGGCATTCCTTGGTGGAGAGTTGCCTGTCTCAGTGAGATGACAGAAGTTGCCATCTAATTTTTTGTTGGTTTAGTTCCACTATACTTCACTGTATCCCAATCCATATTCAAAGAACTTCTTTGAAAATAAAGTACCTTGCTATAATAACAATGATAATGATGATAATAACAATAACAATAAGAACGGAGACAATATCCTTCAGAGGTTCAAGAAAATATATATATAAGAAGGGATGGAAATCTAATATATTATTATTATAAGTCATCCTTTCAAATGATTATTGATACTAAGAAGTCTTGTTAAAGTGTTAAGTATATTTTCAATGAAATGTTCTTGATAGTTTTTTTATATTATTAGTTATTTAATGAAGGTAAGGATTCTTTTTATAAAATGCTTAAAACAATACTTTCCCCCCCCTTATTTTAAATTCTGTATTTTAAATAGTGTTAAAAATACAACAATTTTTGTATGCCATTAACCCATTCAGGACCAATAATAAAAGTAATCTAATCTAATTTAAACGATATAGCATAGCTAAAAATATAAGTCCATCAAATAAGCTATTAACTAAGTCATTAACTTAAGTGTTCTTATTTACAGACAATAATTGGAAGGCTTTTCCAATCAATTTTTCACAGTTGTCACTGGGATTGTCTTTGGACATTTTTTGTCATAAAGTTTTTTATATTGTGAAACACAGGCTTGAATGAGAATAAAAAGGTAATACTTTACTTAAGAAGACAATAGGATTTTAAGCAATGCATACATACATATGATATTGGTTGATTAATTACATATTATTCTTTGTTCTGATTGAAAGCAGATATATATGGGTACTTATGATTTGGTAGTACCTTTGTAATACTCTTATTATTCCATATATCTTACAGTAATAAAAGGATTGCTTTTCTTTACTTATATAACTAAAACTTTAATCTAATATAGTATTCCTCTCAGATTATACTCAATTAACAAACTTACATTATTACAAAATTTTTCACATGGGAACAAATCATCTAATTTCTTTGCCAGTAAGTTTTACAAGAGTAAATGGATTACAGAAAGAATTCCCTTTTTTGGATAGGTTTACAGGAACATTATAATGGCTCCATTGCATTCAAATTTCTTAAAAACACAACTCTAATGTTCAATTATGCACAAGGTACACTAGTAGATACTTTTTTGAATTAACTTTCTGGTCTTATCTCAGTTATCTTCACAACAGCCTTGCCAGGTAAGCAAAGCACAACAAATATTTATAAACACTCGTTCCAAAGGATTCCTCCAATATAACTCAATATATATGTGTGTGTGTGTATGTGTGTGTGTGTGTGTGTGTGTGTGTGTGTGTGTACGTGTACAGGTGTACATATGCACATGCAGTATATATAACAAAGCAATTTTAATGTGTAAAGACTGATGGCAAGGCAGCCAAAATGGCCAAAGCTGAGAAAGCTGGCTATTAAGAAGATAACATAATAAAACATGATTCTCCTTGTAATTTTTTATCTAGTACATTGTCTAGCCTGAATTTTTATTTACCTTCGGGGATGATTGGCATCAAACAGAGTTGTATCGTCGTCATCATCATCTTGTTCTAAAGGTGTTAATTCCATATTTTCTAGATTTGTGTCCAAAACTCCATATCTTCGTGTCTTTCTATTTCTTCTTCTCATTCTAACAAAATATACATGTAAAAAATTTTAATATAGAGCAGTTAAAATGTATGGAAGGTCCTCATTTGATAGTAACTTAAAATAACTGTTTAATTTAAATTCACACTCACCTGCACCATACACACATCTAGTGATACCCTACAAATGCTACTGTGTTTTTTTTTTCATCTTGAAATGGAATATTCAGTATATCGTACAAATCCACTTCTTAGTTTTTTTTTTCTTTTCTTTTTTTCTTTTTTTAAAGAAGCCCAGGACTAGTACCCTATTAAAAAAGTTACAATCTTTGTCAGGGAGAAGTATAATTCCAATCATGTAAAACTTAGGTTTATCCTGGCTAGTGCCTCAACAAAAGGCTGCTTGAGAGATATCCAAACTAGGTTAGCAGAAAGTTGCAACAAAAATCAATGTAGGGAATAAAGCAGAAATGCCAGTGAGGCTTCAGAAAATTCCAACTGAAGACAGGATAGTTACTGATCTGCCACAATGGAGCATCCACCATGAGAGGATTCTCTGCCAGTCTTAATTCATTCTCAACTTTAGCACTCCTGACACCATTCAAATATCAGACAAGACTTAACAATCTTGAGACACAGACCTGGGATCATCCTTTGCTAACTAATCTTCCTTCAAAAGTTGGTGAGTTCTTTGTAAACCTACATGGTATTTCTCCTTTTTCATTTTCCCTGAAATAATTTCTCTTTAGGTCTTCAGAATTTCGTATTTGAGTTTCCTGTTCCTGCTCAGATGGATTTCCTTTTAAGGATTTTAATCTATAGGATCCTACCTATTAATCCTCTGGACCTAAAAATCTCCCAAAGGCTAGATAGGGGACACATCAGACTATGCTCAGCTTTTCTGTCTTCTATAACAAATTCAAAAAGAGAATGAATACTTTTTGGCAACGTTCTTATCATTCATACTCCAGCAAACATTTCTTCCTTGTTAGGAAGAATAATTCCTCTTTGTTGGTTCCTTTAGCTTATGAAAGAGAAAATTGTTCCTAAGTGAAGTAAAAAACAAAACAAAACAAAACAAAAATAAAAAAAAAACCCCAAAAACAAAACATAGTAATTAAAGGTGAATCAATAAGAAAGCAATACCACATAAGATAAAAGGCTTATGAACAACATCAGAAAGCTGACATACTTAAGCAGAAAGATCCTATTCAGCTTTATCATCCTAAGACCACACAGCCAGCACAAGCAATCTCACACAGACTTTTGTTTTGGGGTACAGCTATTAAGGTCCTCTCATATTTATGAATCAACCACTGCACAGTCATGAGACATGAGAAACACTGATCTGGTTTATCTACATGAAAAAAAAGGGGTGGAATGCAAATGTTGAGGAAGGTAGGGAAGGGGTTTTCATGTACAAGGAGACAGGAAACCAAGCTACAGGGAGCAGTCATAAGTGAATTTTCTCTGGGCAGGAACCCAGCCAGCCTCTCCTTTCAACCTTCCTCCCCACAAAGGAAGCTGAGAATATCCTTCATACCCACACACCAACAGACCTTTCTGACCTTAATATACACAAATGTCCTCCATATTAGAATCCAGTCAAACTGACCTTCTGGTTTTCCTTACACACTGGATTCTGTCTCAGGCTGTCTGCATGCCTGGAATGAGCTCCTCTTTACTTCGGCCTCTTTACTATTATGACTTGCTTTCAAACCTAACCTCAAGCATCACCTTCTACATTGAGTCTTTCCTACCCCTTATGCCCCACATCACAGATACTAGTATCTTCCTCCCCAAAATAACTTGCATTTCTAATATGCATATATTCATTATGTGTTTAGCATGTGTCCTCGAATTTTATTTTTGCCTGTGTATCCTCAATGCGTGACACACAGCAGATGCTTAATAAATGTTTGCTGATTAATTTATGGTGCATAGGAAATGTGACCATGCCACAGTAATGCAAGCATGAGGGAAAACAGAAATAAGCCATTGAGAATACAAGAAAAAGGCCTCTCTTCCAAGCAAGGAAATAAAAAGTGAATTTCATAAAGATATAAGGAAAATCAAGACTTCAAAGAGTTGAAATATTGCTATCAGACAAAAAAAATTCACAAGAGGTAAAAGAGAAACTATATTACATGTAAAGCCTTAAAAAAATAAAAAAAATTAAAAATAAACCTTGATTTTACTATTATGGAGTACTCCAGATAAGGAAATTCACTCTACCAAAGCAAATCAACATCCACTTTGAAACTTAATCATCTTTGAGTTAGTGGCCTAGGATACTAGGAAGTTGAGTGAATGGCCAAGGATTATAAGGCCAGTATTATGACAAGGAGAAATCAAACTCCCATCTTCTGGATTCCAAGGTCACATTTCTGTCCACTATGCCATGCTGCCTCTCATGCTTAAAGGTATCATATACAATGAAACAATATTATTATTTAATATGTATATCTATATTTATTCACACACATCAAATGGCACAGAACCTAAATTTGTAAATAAAAAGTTAGCTGAACTGTAATGCTATACTATTACATAAATACTCTTCTCTTAGTGGCTTAATATAACAGAAAAAGAAACTAAAAAAAAAAATTGTGGGAGAATTGTAACTGTTCACTGTTGAAGAGGTAAGAGATGAAACATATGAGATGGTCTTCTGAATGGTGAGAACTTAAATACACACACACACACACACACACTTTCCACAATCACATGGTACCTTTGGTTAAATTCACAATGTATGCTGAAACACTTAGAAGTAATAAATATTAACAGTAGATATAAGCAATACTGCCATTATAGATCATAACATACTATAACCAGGTCCAGATTAGCATGAATAATAAATCCTGAGAAGTCACAGATAACTGAATTTTCACTATTTGAAATTATAATTACATAATTATAATGGTAACTGGTTCCAACAAAATGGAAATAGGTAGTTTAAATCTGAATAATGAAAACACCTCAAAGGATTCATTATTCACACTGATCAGGACCTAGCTAGTAAGAAAAGTAAGAAACATAGTGGCAGCTAGGTAGCGCAGTGGACTTCACTGGCCCTGAAGTCAGAAGGACCTGAGTTCAAATCCAGCCTCATACTGAACACTTGTCACTTACTAGCTGTGTGACCCTGGGCAAGTCACTTAACCCCAATTGCCTAAAAACTACAACAAAAAAAAAAAAAAGAAGAAAGAAAGAAAAGTAAGAAATAAAAGGAGAATATACAAAATTAGATGGCAACTTGGCATTCTAGTAAAGAGCAGGTCAAAAAAAATTATAAAGCAACCAATAACTATGCAAAAGAGAATAATAATGAGAAAACACACAAAAATGTTAGGGATGTAGCTAAAGGAATCCTTAAAGGCTAATTGCTCTCTCTCACTAACAATTGATAGTAAACAGAAAAAAAGGTGATTAATAAACTAATCATTTTTTTAAAACCTAGAAAATAAAGTTAATAAATCCAAAAGTAGCACAAAAGAATCTGAAATTGCACAAATCAGAAAAAATTATGAAACGGAAAATTAAAAGATAATAGAAATGACAAGCAAAATAAAAAGTTGGCTCTTTGAGAAGATTAATTAAAAAGCCAACAAACCTTTAACTAATACAACTGAAAAATCAAATTAAGAAAAAATTAAAGCATATCCATAAAAGAGGATAAATACAATGAATTATTAGGTCTTACTATACACAATTATATGCTAGCAAAAATGAAAAGATAAAGGAATGAACGGTTATCTACAAAAATCTAAAATGCCCAAATAAACAAAATAGAGTTTAACACAACTTAGAAAATTAAAGTAAGAGATAGATAAGGAAACTACCAGGGGTAGAGAAGGGAGGATCGCTGATGCAGAAGGATCAATTAAAACCTATGCTACTTGTTAAGAAGCAAAAATGCTCTACCAAATTGCTCTTCTGAGAGAACATGCTCCCAATATCTAAAAAAGGAAGAGATAATGTAGAGAGAGAATCATAGACAAAGACCAACATTATTAATAAATTGCTATATAAAAATCTTAGTGAAAAATATTATAGCAATATATCTATATTTATATCTTTCTCTTATATACACACTATGACCAAGTTGGATTTACAGAAGGTACGAGAAAATAGTCTAATATTAGGAAAGAAATTAATATAATCAAATATAAAATAGAAACAACCCAAATCACATGACTGTGATAAAAGTCTTTGAGAAAATGTAGCAATAATTAATGTTAAACATCTAATGAGAATAAGCATAAAAGGGTCATATAAAAAAGTATAAAGGGTCATACAAAAAAGTGATTAAAAGTATATGTCTAAAATCAAAAGCATATCTCCTTCCTCTGTTATTATTTGACATGTAAGTTCTGGTAAGGCTACTTTTAGTAATAAGACAGGAGAAATAAATTAAAGGAATAAGCACTGGCAAAGAGAAAACAAAATTACCTTTATTTGAAATTATAGTATTAGAAAACGCTGGATAATTAGTGAAGAAAATATTTGACAAAATAGTTTAAGCATCAGGATTCAAAGTAAGTTTATGAAAAAATAGTTGAGAAATAATTCTCAATAGCAAAAACATAAATCAGTAGAACAGGGCAGTAAAAAAAGAGAAATACTATTTAAAGTAACTACAGAAATGCATAAAATATCTGAAAGTCAAGTCAGTCTAACAACTCAAGACTTACATAAGCTACAGTTAGAACGAAGCAGAGAGTTGGCGTCAAATGAAAAGATGGCTAGGATTTTGAGCCCTCTATAAAGGGAGACTATGGGAAGAGTTTCTTGCTCCACCCTCCAAGCCCTCCAAACAGAGGGGCAGAAGCCACTAAGGGTACTGCTGAAGTGTGAATACCAAAGTTGAAGTGGTTTCCATGATGATGAGCTTCCTAGTGATGAGCTTGTCCTGGAAGAACATGATGCTGATGGTGGTGGAGTCAAAACCAAACAAAGCAGTTCATGGCAAATGAAGACGCCTACTCAAATATGACAAAATGATGATAATACTTAAATTTACAGATTTAATTCTGTACCA